CACGCCCAAACTCACGACGGCGCTCTACAGTGACTCGAAGTGCAAGGATACGGTCTATTGTGGACGTACTAGGAGTGAATCCAGATTGCTCCGGCTTCTGATGCCTTAGTAGGTGGACTCTGATACGTCTTTGTTATTTATATTTAAGGTTGGTGTTATAGCATACTGTTTTTTCTCTAACCAGTGAATCTGGCCGTAGTACACCAACTACTATTACATCTGGTGCAAGCATAGCAGGAATTGGTGGCTTGGCAAGATTTTACTTTGCCACTGAGTTATCGTTCAATTCAGCCACATCTGCGACTGGACATTGCTCCCAGAGACACACCGAAACCCTCCTCCTTCACTCATCTATGGCCCTTTACATCTACTGAGGCTGTTTGGTGAGAGGTGTTTTTTCTTTGTTTTTGTATTTTCTTTCTTTTTCATGGATGAGTCATATATATATATATATATATATATATATATATATATATATATATATATATATATATATATATATATATTCTTTTTTCTGTGACATAATTATTATGTAACAGTCTACCTGTTCAGCCAGTTTACTAGAGCGAGTTGTATAAACGTCACACGGTATATATATTATATATATATATATATATATATATATATATATATATATATATATATATATATATATATATATATATACGTGTGTGTGTGTGTGTGTGTGTGTGTGTGTGTGTACATAGTTTTTATTGATATTTATAGGTAAAATACTATTTAATATTATTGCTATTATTTTTGTTACAGTGAAGTTACCGGAAATCTTGTTCCGTATGAATCTTCCAGAAATCAAAAGAAGGATAATTATCAAACACCTAGAATTGTTTTTAGAGTAAGTAGAAAAAATCTGTATTTGTAATTTATGAACGTACAGTTTGGTTGAAAAGATATGATTTTCCATAGTTTTGCTCTATATACCTTTTCTTTAATATTAGATGTAATGGAGTTTCAAAATATTATTTAACAATATATATATATATACATGATATATTGTCTAATACTAACACATTCTTAACTTTGTAACTCACCTCAGGTATGTCAGCAGTCATAGTAATGAAGTTTTCATGGAGTCCCATTACATTCCCAATCCAGACGTGTAGTTGACTTCTATTCGTGGATAGATATGAGTGTAACAACTTGTGTTCTTCAAAACAGCAATATGTTTAATTGAAACATAAAAGTGTTTGAAAAGGAATTAAGTGACTTTTTTTCTAATTATCATCGTAAAATACAACTGCGCACAAAAATATATGATGCATTATGTGCGCCAAAAAAATTGAATTATGTATCAGTTTCAGAAAAGTCTTGAGTGTATAAGCTAAACCATTCATATCAAGAAAGAAAATTCTTGTCGTTTAATTATTGTAACTGATATTGAGAATACCTCGGGATATTTTATTACTGATGGCTAGCTTCTGCATTTTTTCAAGAAAGCTTATTCATATTACTAATGAGATATCCACCCTTACCTGGAAAGAAGATTGCTTTAAGATGTAAGTAGATGTTGGGTATTTCGATGTCTATTGCATAAATTTTATAGATAATATTTGTTTTCATAAATCTCAAAATAATCAGCCTTTTCTTGTAGTTTTGTAGGAAAATGTAGTTGTGGAAGAAACTCCTAAAAATGTTGACTATTAAAATTTCCGTTATAATATATATAATATATATATATATATATATATATATATATATATATATATACATATATATATTATATTTATATATATTATATATATATGCATATATATATATATATGTATATATTATATATATATATATTATATATTTATGTATATATATATATATATATATATATAATATATATATATATATATATATATATATGTGTGTGTGTGTGTGTGTGTGTGTGTGTGTGTGTGTGTGTGTGTGTGTGTGTGTGTGTGTGTTTATGTATGTATATATAAATATAAACATAAATAAATAAATAAATAAATAAATATATATAATATATATATATATATATATATATATATATATATAAGTATATATGCATATATGTTTACACACACACACACACACACACACACACACACACACACACACACACACACACACACACACACACACACACACACACACACACATATATATATATATATATATATATATATATATAATTCTGAGCCAGGAGAGCAGTGTAATCTGATGACATTTTGCTTCATTATGTAAACAGAGAACCCCTGGGGTTGGTGGACGAAGTTGTTGTACAGCATATGATATATAAAATTTTATTTAATATCTCAACGTTAGATAAAAACAAGATCATTAAACGCATTTCACAAGGTGAGTTATTACAGTGCCGATATCAATATGTGTGCGGATACCTATATACCATCTCCACAAGTACAAAGTATAAAGGATGACTCTCACCCAGGGTATACCTCTGAAGGGAGCCAGGCTTGTGCCGACCAATACAACACGAAACACCGTGAGTGAACAGGCATTGTGAACTAACTAAACTATAAAGCATTCAGCAACGAAGAGAGTGGAACAAATTAAAGTTGTTGTTTTTTGAAGAAATGATGCATGTATCACCAAGAGAACACGAACAGGCAACCCAATAATATATACTTGGTGGAGAAAAACATTTAGTATATTCCAGCGTCATGGATCAGTGCTGTACCAGTAGCAAATTTTCTGTACCAAGAATATTACTGTATTACGTATTTTCCTTGCCAGTTTTCTTTTTTTTCTTCTTTTTTGCAGGTACCTCCGGCGAAGATGAGTCAAGTTACCGTAAGACGAGCTAGCAGATCCGACTGTGGGTCGATTTACCAACTGGTGAGAGAGAGAGCAGATACTCGTGGTGCAAAAAATTCTCACCGCGTATCCATAGAAGGTAATCAATCATTAGTTTTAAATCACAGGACAAATCGTAGGCCTTTGATGATGAAGATGAAGATATTGATGATAATGATGATGATAATGGTAATAATAACAATAATAATGATAATATGATCATGATAATGATATTGATTATAGTATGATGGTAATGATGTGGATGATATTGAAGTAACAATAGTAATGTTAATAACTATTATAATGAAATACTAATGATTATGATAATAATAATAATGATAATGATAATGATAATAATAATAATGATAATAATAATGATAATAATAATGATAATAATAATAATAATAATGATAATAATAATGATGATGATAATAATAATAATGATAATAATAATAATAATAATAATAATAATAATAATAATAATAATAATAATAATAATAATAATAATAATAATAATAATAATAATGATAATATAAAATAATATAATAATGATAATAATAATAATATGATAATATATGAAGTAATAATAATGATAATGATAATGATAATAATGATAATAATGATAATGATAATAATGATAATAATAAAGATAATAATAACAATAATAGTAATAATAATGATAAAAGTAACATTAATAATAATAATGATGATAATTACAATTATAATAAATAGTGGTGATGATCATCATAATGAAAATGATAGTAATTAGAATAACAACAGTAACAATAATAGTAATGATAATGATAATAATGATAATGATGATACTGATATTAATAATTATTATAATGAGAGTGATAATGATCATAATGGTAAGGATGATAACAATAGTGATAATAATAGTAATAATGATTGCAATAATGATAATGATCATGATGACAATAATGATCAGAATACTACTAATAATTATGATAATGGTAATGATACTACTAATAATGATAATGGCACCAATGATGATGCTGATGCTGATAATGATAATGATGATAGTAACAATGATAATGATAATAATAGTAATAGAAATAATGATGATGAAAGTAATAGTAATAATAATAATATGATAATAATAATATTAATAATAATAATAATAATAAAATAAAAAAAAAAGATTATAATATTAATAATAATGATAATAATAAAAGATAATAATAATGATAATGATAATAACAATAATGATAATGATAGTAATACTGATAATAGTAATGATAATGATAATAATGAAAAGGATGATAAAAAGATAATAATGATAGTTATGAAAAGACAACAAGAGAACTAATCTCCTTATATGTTTATTTCCAGGGTTAGAAGATAGTTTTGGTTCAAATTCCACCTTCAGTTTTCTGGTTGCTGAGGTGAAAAGCAGCTTGGTTGGCTATGTCCTTCACTATTATTGCTACTCCTGGGAAGGACGCACTATCTGTGTGGAGGACTTGTATGTTAGACAGACTGAAGACTGCGGAAATGTTGCTCAGGCATTATGGAGAAGCTTGGTTAAGGTATCTGATTTTTATTTTTGTATACAGCTATGGCAAATAGTATTATATCTTTATAACTAAGTATTTGAAAAGAGATTATGATTCATGCTTGAATAATTAAAAAAAATAAATATCCATTCCCATCTTGCAGATTGCCCTAGAAGAAGGATGTAAACAGTTCAACTTTCCTCCTTTAAGAGAAAATGAATATGAGTTTTATCATCACAAAGCAATAAATATGACTAAAACTAATGGATATCAGTACTTCAGGATGGAACAAGAAGCTATGGAGAAATTTGTTAAGATGTGAGCGTAATTTTTATTTTTTTTGTGTTAAATGCAAAATTAGAGTTCATTTCAAGTTTTCTAAAGCAGGGGCATGATATGGCTAAAATTAACTTAAGAATAGAACAGGGGGGGAATTATCCGTGAGTATCTAAAAACTAGCCCTATAGATGGTAAAAAGGAGGGACATCAATGAAAAATGGGGGGAGCAATGGGAAACTTGAGTTGAAAGCTCTATGTTCATATAGATAAATAATTGTTTTAACCTTATTTACAGTACTTATTTAGCTATCTTATGGTCATAATTACCTGTTAACAACTCAAGATGATAATGATTCAGTTGTATCAACACATAGACCATTACAAAAATGTTGAGAAGTCTCCAAAACAATTTCATATATATTATTTGAATAATAGGAACAAGATACCAGAGGGAATTAAGGTAAGAGAAGCAACTTCAGCAGACTGTACTGGCATTAATCAATTGATAAAGGACTTAGCTATGTATGAAAATGTGCCGGACAAACCGCAGATTGATGCAAAAGGTAATTATAAGTGTGGAATGTTAGTTTTATTGCTCTTCGTAAGTTCATTGTATATATAAATACATTATTCTTGTATGACATTAAATAGAGAAATGTGATTGTGTGAGAGAATGTTAAGTAAAAAGGAATGACTCTAACTTTATGATGATGTTGGTCATCCTATAACATTAGTGATATGTGCAATAATATTTAGCTAATCTGATATAAACCTTTGGATTTGCAGCACTAGAAGATGATGGTTTTGGAGACAAGGTGTTCTATAAATGTTTTGTAGCAGAAAGTGAAGATCACCTAATAGGACATACACTCTTTTTCCATACATATAACTGGATGGGTCGAGGTGTGTATATGGAAGATCTTTATGTGGCACCTTCATACCGTGGGAAAGGTATTGGTACAGCACTGTGGAAGCAAGTGTTAGAGGTGAGGAATATAGTTCATGTGTGAAATATATTTCTCTCTTTTCTTTTAGATTTTTTTAAGATGTTTGTTTTCTATACATGTATCATTGATAAAAAATAACCTTGACAGAAAAGTGAATGAAATTATGTATTTACTTCTTTTCCAGATTGTGTTACCATTATATAAATATTGCAGTACAAAATGATATTACTTATCAATTTTTTTTTTTTACTTGTTACATTTACATAAGATTACAGTGTTTTTTTTTTTTTTTTTTTTGAATTGTAGAAAATCTCATATTAACCTGTAACCTATGTCGTAGTATGACTAAGGCATATTGATTCTTTTATTATCTTCCCTTTATGATAGGATAATGAGATGAACAAAGTTTTATCCATGCAAACAGTGTATGTGTGTGTGTGTGTGTGTGTCTGTGTGTGTGCGAGTGCGAGTGCGAGTGCGAGTGCTGTGGTGTGTGTGTGTGTGTGTGTGTGTGTGTGTGTGTGTGTGTGTGTGAGTGTGCGAGTGCGAGTGCGAGTGCGAGTGCGAGTGCGTGTGTGTGTGTGTGTGTGTGTGTGTGTGTGTGTGTGTGTGTGTGTGTGTGTGATGTGTGTGTGTGTGTGTGTGTGTGTGTGTGTGTGTGTGTGTGTGTGTGTGTGAGTGTGTGTGTGTGTGAGTGTGTGTGAGTTTGTGTGTGTTCTTACCTAGTTGTTGCAATACAGGAGAAGAGCTAAGCTCATATGGTCCCATCTGCTCTATTTAAATTCTCATGGAACTTTTTAAAATGATGCACATTTGGGGCATACAATTTTGTTTGGAAGATTGTTCCATGTTTCAATGGTTCTGTTTGAGAAACTGAACTTATTGAAATCTTTCTTGCCTCTTTTTACTTTCAACTATTTACTGTGTCCTCTCATCCTTCTTGTGTTCAAAATTATAAAGTCAACTTTGTCTAACTTCACTCTTCCTGTAGCAGTTAAACAGCATAATCATGTCACCCCTTTTCCATCTTTCCAAAGTAGTAAGGCCTACTATCTGTAGTCTATCTTCATAGCTCATATCTATTAGAGTAGGTGTCTATCTTGTGGCTGTACTTTGCACTTTTCCCATTTTGTCTATATCTTTTTGTAAGTGTCGACTCCATGCCACTGCACCTTACTCTAGACTAGTGGCAGGTTTGTAAAAATTATGCGAGGCCCAACCCAATGAATGTTCATATATACAGATATGCAAATACACAAAAATCAGGTAGATAAGAATGTTTAAACTGATAGATATGCATTTATTTCTGTCTATATGCATGTCTGTATGATGAATATTTACTGGGGCGGGCCTCGCAAAATTTTTAACAAAATGGCCATAGGTCTCTTGATGACTGTAATGATCTTTACCATATCATTGTCCATACATGTTGGCAGACAGCCCTAGCATTGTATGGACCTTTTGATTTATATGATTATTTGGGCTTAATTTCATGATTATGATTATCCCAAGGTCTTTTTCCCTACCTGCTGGTTTTAATACTGTCCTAATTTGTGTTGCTATAGTGGAAGATTTTTACTTTCTCTGAACCTGATTCTACAATATTTTTTTCTAAGTAAAACTCCTTGTGAAGAAGTTCTTTGGAGGCATTGGCATGAGATGTCATCTATTTTCCTTTTTTTTAAATTTTGCATCATATATGTTTGACCTTGAATCATAGATGAAGATAATAAACATTATCAGCACCAAGTCCTTGATGGACTCTGCTAGTTACTAGTCCCATGTAGAGTGCTCTAATTACAGTTCTCATCTCTCTTTCATGAAAGAAGTCTTTCATCAATTTCAGGCATTTGCCTTTCACCTTACCTAGGTGTTCTGATTTCCATAATAATCTTGTATGAGACACATCAAATGGCTTCATAAAGTGTAAGTATACACAATCCATCTATTTCTTGTAATATTTCAAAAACTGTAAAACAGAGGAGAATTGCTACACATGACCTTTCTTCCCTAAAACCAAGTTGCTTATTTGATATCATATTGTGTTTTTCAAGTACTTCAACCCACTGTTTCCTAATAATCCTTTCAAGCAGCCTTCATACTACACTGGTCTATAATTTAGAGGGCTTTGTTTGACACTGCTCTTCTAAAAAGGTGTAACATTGGGGAGTTTCTAATCTTTTGGTAGTTTTCTTTGTCTCACTGAATATTGGATTATGAACAATAAGTGAGTACATAGTTCTTTGGCACATTCCCCAAGAGCTCAGTTAGAAATCTCATCTAGTCCCTCTGCTTTAGTCTTGTGTAGCCATTTTAGTAGCCCTTTTATTTCATTCTTTTTGAGTGTGATATTTTCAATATTCTGATTTACATTTGTATGGTTACTTGTCATTTCAAAGTATATGTCCAGAACAAAAACTGAATGAAATTCCTCATTAAGTATTACCCACACTTCCTCAATGTGATTGTCTTTGATGACGAGAATTTGATCTCTACTTTTAGGTTTACTATTTATGTAATGAAAGAAGAGCTTGGGTTGGTTTGTACATTTATTGATTATATCCTTTCCAGAGTCTAATTTTGCCTCCCTTGTGGTATGTGTATACTCGTTTCTTTCAGTTTTATGTTTTCCAAACCTTTTCCAAAGGAACTGCTTGTTTTCTCTCATTTTCTTGCATCTATTATTGAACTATTTTGGCCCATTTTTTGCTTGAATTTTGAATCTTTATATATATATATATTTTTTATTTATTTATTATTATTTATTTATTTATTTATTTATTATTTTCTATTTTATTTTTTTTTTTTTTACTTCTTTTGTAATTGTACTTTCCCTTACTTTCCATACTTATGATGAGTTTTTTCCTGTAGCAGACAGTATATTAATTTAATTACTACATGATCACCTATATTTGTAAGTAAGGATGTTTTTATGTGTATGTATGTATGTATCTATATATGTATGTATGAATATATGTATGTTTGTATGTGCATGTATGAATATATGTATGTATGTATGTGCATGTATTAATGTGTATGTTTGTATGTATGTATATATGTATGTATATATGTATGTATGTATTTATGTATGTGCACTTATGAGTTGGTATAAATACTTCAGTTGATGTATACATTAGGACATTTGATATAACCAGTATTGACATAAAATGAAAATATATATAAAAGTAAAATTATCAACAGGATTTGTTTTTTCCCATTTCATGCTATATATTTACTGTGCTTTGTGATTTTCAGGCTTGTCTAGCTGTTCAGGGAATCAGATGTGACTTCTGTGTACTTGGCTGGAATAAGCCTAGTATTATGTTTTACAAAGGGAAAGGTGCCAAAGACATGACCGAGGAAAGTGGCTTTATGTATTGTGTAATGCCCAAGAAAGTAATGGAGGATTTTTTGCAATGATTTAGCCTGAAATCCGAAAAATGTAATTGCTAAAGTGGATTAGAGTAAGGTCAGTTTGTATTTTTTTTCTTTTGTAAGTAGGAAAAATAAATACTGCTATATTACTAAGAATCACACATTTACACGGCTAATTTTAACTTTGTTGTTTTAGCTATCTATAAATTAGAAATGAGGACAAAATTCATTATTTTTGGTATATATATATATGTATATATAGATACATATGTATATATATATAACCAGTGTAATATATATATATATATATTATATATATATATATATATATATATATATATATATATATACATACACACACACGTGTGCGTGCATGCGCGTGTGTATGTTCGTGTGTTGCAATTCAGTTTTGTTATTGTAAAGGTGTAATGCCACTATTAATTTTAACATACATGTAATATGGTATCTTACCTTATCTTACTAACATTAGGAGATATCCCATTCATACTTTGGTTAAGTCTGGTGCTGCAAAAGTTAGAGCATTGTTTTAGTGTAATTTTTTTTTTTTTTTATGTAAATTTATATGAATTGTAGCCAGACATATCTTAAATGAATATTTTTTGTATTTTTGTATTTTCCAAATTATTCTTAATATTTGTAATGAGAATTTGCAATAGTTTTGATAGTAAAGGTAACATGTCAGGTATAGTTTTGGGTGAGTATTAGGCTTATTTGATGCCCCAAAATTTCTTGCATTAAATTCAAATAGTAGGCCTGCTTTTTTACCAGGTTCTAATTTCTGGAGAACATATATTATTTAATACAGGTCATAAATTTTGCCCTCCTAAATTTTATACCAAATTTTTGTAGTATTAGTAGGATGAGCTTAAAAGATCATCATCTCACATGTTTTTCCATTTGTGGACTGGGTTAGGATTATTATTATTTTTTTTTACTAGATTTGTATTCATTACCTTTATTTTCTTGATTGCATTAAAGTCTTCACTATTCTTTTATTATCAATAAACTTTGTACCCTACAATGGGTTACCCTCTGATTTAAAGACTGTTGGGTGTTCTTTTTTACTTTCCTACATGTTTGTTATTTCATCAATAATACTGTCAGTAATGGCTAATAGTTTTGACATTTCTAATTGTCATGATAAAGACAATGAAAGTAGATGGTGATAATGATCATAATGGTAACAATGAGATCTACATCACTAATGTTAACCTTATGGTACTGAGAATATGTAATGATCACTGTTTTGTTTTTTGAAATGTATTTTGGGGATTTTTTTCCAATGCTATTGATAGTAATGCTGTTATTATTACTGAAATTATAATCATTATAGTATCATCAGCAACACTAGTAGCAATATAAAGTAAAAATATTTATAAAAATTAAGGAAAACAGGGTAATTCTTTACAGTATGGATGCATTTTCCAAACACTGTCCCCAACTTGATATCACAAAACTGTATTCACCCCCTGGAAAACATTGATTTGAGCTTCATATGCACAGCAAGGTAGAGTTGAAGCTTGGGAAAACAGAATGGACTTAGACTGTGAGAAATGCTATATACAATGTTTTTCCTTTATTTGTGGCATTACTGTTTGTCTCAACTATTTGTTCTCATCTTCAGTTTCCCATAGCTTACTGCATCCATACTGTAAAGATTAACAGAAAGCAGTAAACAGTTGAGTTAGGTATGACTAGCAAGTGATTCTTTGGTGATTAAGCACTTTTCTATCCATGTATCTTTAAACACAGTTGCTGAACTAAACTCACTCTGGGCATCCCATGTATGTACAGGCCAGCTCCATTGACAATGGGTTAATGCTGCTACCCACTGCCAAAGCTTACACATTACAAGACTAAAGACATGGTCAGATGAGAAGGCCTGGTAGGCATGCCTTAGAATTTCTGCTAAACAATTGCTATGTGAGTGAAACTGGTTATTTAGCCAGTAGATTGCTGATGTCACATGCCTTAAGATATGAAGTTAAGCACAAAGCTATCATCTGAGTTATTTAATAACTTGTGGATTATGTGTTAAGTAAAATCATCTACTGTTTCATGTAACAAATATTCTGAAATATATATTTGGAAATGTAAAGAAAGAAAATGATATGGTAAATAGATTACAGGGATAAGAGGTAGTGGAATAGGCTGCTTAAAGCAGTATTGTTTTATTCTTGTACATATAATAAGAGTTTGATGGAAGAGAGGCCTGTATTTGTCCCATGGTTGTTCATTAACGACAGAATGACATATTAGGGTGACTCATAATTTTAAGGTCACTTACAAGACAGTATAACAGCATTGTGGATTGTTAAAAAAAAGAAATTTGCCATTTGAATTATTTTTGGCTTAACATACTGAATAACACTGATACTGATGATAAGATCTGAATTATTTAACAGTCAGCAATGAAGATTCACATTACTCTCTTTCCATTGGAATTAACTGATTTTATTAACATAATGGTATCTTTATACCCTCTGCCATACAATCCTACATTTGGGAAAGGTCAAAGTGACCTACTATAGTCTAAATTGTTGCTTGGGTTGGGTAGATGGGTAGCCTGCTTATTCCCATGTGTAGTAGCAGGATGTGTTCTATGACATATACTTTCATCCTGTCTTAATGATAAATGAATTTGCTTTTTTATAAGACTATTGAACTCAGAATACTTAAAAGAATTAGATGTAAATGAGGGAATTAGTAGACAAGCTTAGATAGAAAGGATGTAGTGTAAAGCTGATGCTATATGACAGTGTTGTCTTGTAGTGCTCAACATTATCACTTTTCATTGTTTTCCACTAGTTGTGATGAAATTTCTTATCTTTGCTTACACTTTCTTCAAACCAGTTCAAAATGTATGAATACTTAGTGCATATTCTCAGCTGCCAAAGTACCAAACTTAGTTTTGATATAGAAAAGTGAGGAATTAACTATAGATCTATTTCAGTGGTTCCTAACCTTTTTCATTCTATGGCCCATGGTCATAGAACCAGTCAGCCTCTATCTCTATCTCTCTCTATCCCAGTCTCTGTCTCTGTGTCTCTCCCTTCTCTCTTCCTCCCTCTCCCCTCTCTCCCTACTATCTGCTCTCTCTTTCCCTTAATCCCCCCCTCTCTCTCCTTTACTTCCCCTCCTCCTCTTTTTCTCCCCCTCCCCTCTCCCCCCTCTCCCCACTCCCCTCTCTCCTCTTTCTCTCCCCCTCCCTCTCTTTCTCTCCCCCTCACTCCCCCTCTCCCTCTCCCTCCCTCCCTCTGTCTCTGTTTCTCTTCCCCCCCCCATCTCTCTCTCTCTCTCTCTCTCTCTCTCTCTCTCTCTCTCTCTCTCTCTCTCTCTCTCTCTCTCTCTCTCTTCTCTCTCTGTATGTATGTGTGTGTGTGTGTGTGTGTGTGTGTGTGTGTGTGTGTGTGTGTGTGTGTGTGTGTGTGTGTGTGTGTGTGTGTGTGTGTGTGTGTGTGTGTGTGTGTGTGTGTGTGTGTGTGTGTGTGTGTGTGTGTGTGTGTGTGTGTGTGTGTGTGTGTGTGTGTGTGTGTGTGTGTGTGTGTGTGTGTGTGTGTGTGTGTGTGTGTGTGTG